AGGTCGAAACACCACACAGAACAAGGCTAGGGTGAGGTTGTAATAAAGTCACATTTTGTTCTATGTAAAGTTCAGCTCAGTGTACTTTACGATCATGTATTGTTCCATCATAGTATTTCACTCTTAGTTTCTTAAGTTGTTTCCACCTTCTGTAACAAAGTCCTGTAGTAGTACGATGGCAGGAAGGTTGATGGATGTAATAAGTTACTCTTCCATGCTTCGTCTTTCTCCTTCAGTGTTGGGGGATGGTTACAGTAGTTTCTAAGATGGTTAATGGTTGAAACAAATGAATGTGCTAGACATCTAAGGTCATAGAGCACTATGGTAAAGTATTTTGGCGAAAGGGATAAAAATGAGTTAAGGATTAGGATAAAGTGTTAAAGGCCAAAGGTTACAGTGTTGTAACATGGTATGATAAGGAAAAGGGTAAAGAGGGAGTGCAAATGAAGTAAATCGGAGATTAATAAAGAGTGTGTTATAGGTATAGGGCAGTTGGTTAAAATAGGGTGTAGTTTCTTGATGGGAAGCATAGGCATGATGATAGTCTTGTGGAGATTAAATATCACTGTTGGAGTATTGCTTCTATGCACAATTCAAAATCTAACATTATTTTTACGTCAGAAGAGATTCTCTTTTGATTTTGTCACCATACTTGTTAGCATTGTTACTTTACTTTAATATTTTTTTTCTTCTAAAAATGCATACATTTTCTTCAAAATGTTTGAAAGTAGTATTTTATTTTAGCATACAATATTTCTCCATAGCATATTTCATGGGGCAGCTTTCTATGGAAAGAATTTGATGTTCTTTTATCTGGTTCATATTGAGCTAGTTTACATCTCTCCTGAGGTCTGCTTGCTTTATCTATTTCAGTCAGTATTATTCAGGTATGCCAGTGTGATAGTATACAACCCTCTTCATTCGATTGAAATGAACTGTCAGTTTTCATTATTGTTAAGTTGAAGGGAAGAGTCTGTTGTTTCACATGTTTCTTCTATTTCTGGTTACTACTGTGTGTTTAGTAAAATATTTTTTATTAATAATGTGTGTGAGGGTGTATGCATTCATCCTGTGGAAAAATACTCAAAACCTTTACCTGCATGTTGTATATGCCTAAACTATTTTTGCAGTTTCTTTTCCAAAGTTTCATATGTAACTATGTAGTTGTGTAGAACATACAAATTCCCATTTCATTTCATAACTGCAGATAACGAATATTGTCATGAACATATCCGTATCATGATATATTGATGATGTGGTATGAAGGGCATTATACCAGCTTAGGACATAGTTTGCGACATCTTGAAATCATATTATATTTTATATATACATATATTATATAATATATATATATTATATATATATATATATAATATATATATATATATATATATATATTATATATATATATATATATATATATATATATATAATTTTCTTCTTTTTCATGTCTTGAAAGAGATAATTATTTTTTAAATTCACAAGAAACATCTGATATACAGCAAGGGCATGACATCAGTAGGACATAATATAGCCAGAACAGAAGGGTAAAAAATGCAACTCCGTAATGTCTAAAAAATTAATAAGGCCTTAAAAATTAAGTTCTTTCGTCATATTTTGTACTTGAAAGTCCTTGTTCCTATTGGAAACAAATACCAAATATAACAAGTACAAGCAGTTATACAAGGTAAGAAGTCAAATGTTAAATTATTTATTTTTTTCTAAACCAGAAAAGCTTTTTAATGTAATGAGAATACTAAATAAAAAATATATATACATAGTTCCTCTCTTCCAAATCTTCATTTCAATGATTTTCTTTAAGTTTCTCATTTCCCTAAATTTTCAAAAACTATCAATTATGTCACACATTTTAACAGGGCATTCACCTGGCTCTGTTAACCCAGTGATGCCAGGCAATTATGTTTACATAAACTGTCCTTTGGTTTTGTCAATTAATTATGCTTATACATAGACGGCTAAATATCCCTTAGTCAAAGAAGTGGTTAATTACTAGGCCCAGTTGACCTCTCCAAGTTTGTCACTTTTCTTGGAAAAAAATAAAGTTTTAATTGTCTTAACATAGTATATAAATGATAGTAGCCTAGTATCTAGCTCCTTGGTGCCAAAAAGCATGTGAAGCCATCTATGTATAAACAAAATTAATAAAACAAAACTATAGTGGACAGTATGCATACCTTTCACAATGGGTTAAGGGTTTCTCAACATAAAAAGAGTCCATTTCTTTACTAGATGATCTAATGCATTGTCTGGTATATTAAGTAGCTATGCTTACAAGAACACACAAGGCTAAAAAGTCCTCCCCTCCCCTAAAAGAAAAGAAAAAAAAGAAAAGAAAAAGAAAGACGAAAGAAAGTACTACCCGCTAAAGCATATTCATTCAATAGCTGTAGGGTTATGTATGTCAATTGAATAGTAATGATAATGATTATAATAATAATAATATTAATAATAATAATAATGTAAAACCTGTCCTGTCAAGCATAATAACCTAGTTCAGTGGGGTTACGTACTGTCAATTGTAGTCTTTTGTCAATTTTGTTACACAATGCTGGCTCCAAAAGTGCTCAGCCACCCGAGGTGTCAATTATTAGGTCTTAGTGATTGTGAAATTAATTTTTTTTTTTTTTTTTTTTTTTTTATAATGCTACTAATATCAATAGTGTTAATATTGTAATTGACATTATGATTATTATTATCTTATGAAGATACTACTGATAAGTACTTAATGGAAATCCATGCAAAGTGTAAACAGGTGAGATACAAAGGACTAGTAATTGCCTTCTTGGTGACTAAGTACTAATAGAGCCATCTTTATATAAGCATAATTAATTAACTAAAATTACAGTGGACCTTGGAAAGTCATCATGTCATCTGTTTCTATTAAAAGGTACCACTGCATCTTCTGTGCTTCAACTGTTATATGGCAAGCTGTTCCACCAATATCTTTTAACCACTGTTTCTTGCATTTTATTACTGTACAATACTTGGTTGCACTTCTAATCCTGTTGCACAAATACATTCATGTTCTGGCAGAATGAATCATATCCTTTTTTCGACATTGAAGTCTGTTGCATTTCATTTTCTGTGTACACTTATCGTATGCTCAAAAAATATAAACCAAATAGGACCAAAAAACTTGAAGGCCAATAAAATCATAAAAAAATGAACTATAACTTTCATTTTATAAGTCTCATATTTACATTATTACTTTACAGTTTTAGGAGGGTACAGAAAAAAATATAGAAAATGGGCACTTATACCATCCATTTCAGCTAAAAAATTTAAAAATAAAATATTGAAGCAATAACAACTGACAATTTCAGGAGAAACAATATTCTGATAATGAGGTCCCAACTTAACAAATACTTTAGTCAACAGGTAATTTCAGCATTAACTGGTAGAAAAAAGAGAGAGGAATGAATTTTTGGAAATTAAATGGGAAAATAGAATGATGTCAAGTAAAAAATATAAAACATTAATTAATTTCAAACTTCTCATCTATACTCCTGTAGGAAGAATATACTCCAAGCAACAAAGATATTCATGTGCATCAATTTAAACAAGCACTATGAAAGCTTGTGGTATCACCTTGTTAAATACATATATGCATGTATGGATATTCATCACATTCAGATCCACACATTTTTACAAATAGAGAAAGATAGAATGTGACTATTTATGTACAAGATGAGTATGCATTCATACATATATATGAACAACTTGGGACTATTCCCCCTGCATAAAGATGGGTTCTACTACAATTAATAAACTATGAACAACACCGCACTATGACCTGAGCAGCAGTATCATACCTGTTTAATGCAAAAATCAAAAGCTTCAAGCTTTAGTATCAGAGAGCTGAAAAATTTATAGTTAGTTTTGAAACATCAAACCAGTTCACTATCATGCGACTAAATCTCTCATGATTTCCCCAATTCTTTTTCCTATTACCTCAGTAATTCAATTAGGTACATGCAGTTAATAGGCCTTTATCATAAATGATGCCAACAAATCCAGAACAGCTGTCATGTTCTAAAGTTTCTAATACTCAAGTGAAAGTCCACTCCCACTACAAACAACCACTATTATGTCTGATGAATACTTCCTTTCATATACTGGAAACTACCCCAAAACGTTTTTTTGTGATGCAAAATTAACCCGATTCTGCCTGGGAGGCCCTCTGTGAGTTGACTCTACATATAGATGGCTCCACAAGTATTAAATCACCAATGAGAAAATTACAAGCTCTACCTATTTCAACTGTTTACCCCATTTCCTTACTTCTTACAAAATGTCAGTAATGTCAGTGATAATTTTTATATCTATAATAATAATAACAGTAATATTTCTTGTATCCTACTGATGTAGTATGTCCTTACTTCTTACAAAATGTCAGTAATGTCAGTGATAATTTTTATATCTATAATAATAATAACAGCATTGATATTGATAGCATTTGTGAAAAAATTATGTTTCTCTCACAAATTCTGGATAAAGTGAAATCAAGTGACATGTCAGTCAATTAATTAATATCTTTGTGGCTAAACACTTGTGGAGCCGTCTATGTGCTGACACATTTCACAAAACAATACTTTAGGGAATACAATGAACATAACCTTTTCCCAGTGATGGTGGGTTAATTTGCAACATATTATATACAACTGGATACACTGTTCATTGCAATGAAGCTCTTACATTTATGGTGAAACTCTCATGCCTTCTATACAAGGAGACAGATTTTGTGGGACTGTATAATGATATAATTTCGTTTTTTTCTATAACAATCATATTTCATAATTTTCTCAAGTATTATAACAAGTCTAAAATAAAGATGTAAATATTTACATCACTTATCATTTAGAGATTGGCTAATTTCTATATTCAAAGAAGAGAGAATCTGCTTTTATGTACATAAAAGTATCTACAGATCCTTTTAGAAAATTGTCGCACCGTATTATGGGGGAATAACAGAAAGTGTATTATCAGATTCCAATAAATCTTGTACTATTTTTCATTGTTTAAACAAGTTCTTACATTTTTCTAAACAAAGGTGGTCAAAACCCATATACTACACACAGTTTTCAATACCAGGTTTGAAATAAAATCAACCCTCGTCTTGGAGCATTTTGCAACAACACTGCATCTGCAATGCAATCAACAATCTGCTCTCCCAACACATGGTAAACCAGAATTTTAAAAATTTCTTAAATGATCATAAAACCATACTAATGCATTTTCTATCATAATAAAACTATGGAGAATGATAATGTTAATTTATATCAACAACTACAAAAAATATCAAGAGGAAAAAAGATTTTAAGATAGCTTCAAAGAAGAATTGAAACTTGATTTCCCTGACTTGCAACTACCTTTGCCACAATATTCTCCTGTTAACGAAAGAAAGAAAAAACAAAAACAAAAGAAAAAATGTCTAGGTATTTTTCGAGAGAACTCCAGCAATTCTCTTCTTTATGGATGGCATCAGGCTGATATGGTCATCCACACATTTCATGGCACATCCCTCGAACTCTGCCTTGTATACAGTAACCTGATGGGAAAGAGAAAACAAGAGATAATCAATATCATACACCTGTTCACTTCTACCATATGCCAATTCCTAAAAAGCATAAACAAAGAGACAAGAAAAAAATTATCATATATACAAAATCATATCAGACTGCATTTTTATCTGTTCATATTTAAGAATAACTTATGATAAGGAGGAATTCATTAATTATACAAATAATATGTAAGCTATCCAAAATATTTTTTGATAAAAGAATAATGCCCATTATGATCAATAATATTAAAACTTGGTAAAGAAACTTCAAAGGCAAATTCTCACTCCTAAAATTAACATCATGTCCATATTTCTCAATGCATTATCTTTCATAAGAAAAAAAGAAAAGAAAGAAAAGAAAAAAAAAAAAA